TTATGTTGGACTCACTCCCGATAAGCGGGAGCATACCAACTAAAACCCCACTGTCTCCATCTTTTCACCGGGCACCGGGGTGTGGGCACACTGAAAGTATTCTTCACACTCCCCGGTGGTGACTGGCTGTTACGCCTCCTCCGTTGTTTTGACCACTCTTGCGCGGAGAACCACGCGCCCTCAGCTACTCAATCGGAGTGGCGAGCTTCCCCTTAGTTCGCCACTCGAGTACGGTCAGGGTGGTAGTGACCGGCCGAACGCCCTTCTCCTACCCCCTCTGCGGCGGCTGCGGTTGGGGTCTCGGCTTGTCGCCTCCCTTAACCTTTCCGCCTCTTCTTTTGTCCTGAGGACATCCTCCGAAAATGACTGGACAGCCCTCCATGCCGCGTCCGACTCCGTCATCTTGCTGACCAAGGCCGGTAAGGACAGATCGCCGCCCACTACAGCCACAAGGTCTCGCCTTTGTACGGCCCACGCCGGGCACTCCGCCAGCGTGTGCTGGGCAGTGTCCTCGGGGCAATCGTCGCAGTGGTGGCACTGCGCGGACGGCTCCCTCCCGATCTTGCGCAGATAACTGCCGAAGCAACCATGCCCCGATAGCACCTGCGCAAGACGGTAGGTTACCGCCCCGTGCTCCCTCTCCATCCATGCCACCAGCACTGGACAGATCGCCCCGACTGCCCTAGCACCAGCCCTCGGCTCGCGAAGACAGCGTTGCCATCTGGCCACTGCCGCGTCCCGTCTTTCGGCACGATGAGCCTCTATTTCCGCCCTTGGAGGCGGCGATCCATCTATCAGCAGTCTCCGCTCGCGCCACTCGTGAACTGCTGCCAGCACCTCAGCCTCCAACACCCACGGCAGAGAACCAGCCAGGGTGCATGCCGCCTCATAAGAAATGGTGCGGTATCCCCTAATGACCCTGATCGCCATTGTTCTCTGCGGGCGATGGAGAACGTCGACCGTTCGCCTATTCAGGGCGCCGCTCCACACTGGTGCGCCGTAAAGCGCCATCGACTTGACGACGCCCATGAACAAGCGCCGACACGCCGCCTTCGGGCCGCCAACGTTCGGCAGTAGTCTGCCAAGAGCAGCAGCCGTGCGCATCAGCTTGGGCCCCAGCTGTCGGAAGTGGCCCTCAAAGGTCCACCGACCGTCCAGCATGAGGCCCAAGTATTTCATACATGGCGCCACCTCAATCGCAACTCCACCGACTGTTATCCGCGAACCTGGAGGAGGCCTCCTCCTAGGGCCGTGGAAAAACAAGGCCTCAGACTTCTGGAGGGCCACCTCCAGGCCCAGGGCCCGTATTCTACCCACTACTTGGGCAACTCCAGCTGTGCAGGCGATCGCACACTCGCGGTGGGTGGGTCCTCTCGCCGTGACCAAGGTATCGTCCGCGTAACAAGTTACATCGACCCCTCGAATGAGAGAGCCCCGCAGGACCCAGTCGTATCCCACGCTCCAAAGGAGGGGACCAAGGACTGAGCCCTGCGGAACCCCGCAGGTGATCTCGTGCCGACACCACCCATCCCGGCTTCGGAAGGTGACCGATCTACCGGACAGGTAGTCAGTCACAATGCGAATCAGATATCCCGGCACTCGATGATAGCGGAGGGCCTCTGTGATGCAACTCCAGGGCAAGGTGTTAAACGCGTTTGCGATGTCCAGGGACACCGCAAGAACAACCTCGCCCTGGGCAACTGCCTCTTCCGCTATCCTCTTTACCCTCATGATTGCATGGACGGTGGACCTGCCCGGTCTAAATCCGAACTGTCTACTGTCCAAGTCCGGACCGACTAACCTCATGTGGTTGCCGAGGCGGTTGGCGATAATCCGCTCAAACACCTTCGCCACGTCGTCCAACAAAGTTATGGGTCGGTACGCAGCAGGGGAGTCGGCTGGTCTACCCTCCTTCTTGATTAGTACCAAGGAGCCCTTCTTCCAGCGCTTTGGGAATCTTCCCTGTGCGAGGCAGTCGCTCAGCAGCTGGATTACCCTCTCCTCGAACACATCCGCAGCCACAGCCCAAGCACGTCCCGGTATGCCATCTGGCCCCGGAGCCGTCCTTTTGGCGCGAAGCCGTTCGATTGCCGCCCCAAACTCGCCAGGGGAGACTGGTGGTATTTCCACGCCATTTCCAGGATTTTCCATCCTATCCGGAATCCTGTACGGCGGTAGGTGTGTCTCTTTTTGGGGAAAGAGAGAGGACACCACATCCTGCACTAGTTGGGGCGGCAGACTCTGCGTCAGCGGTAGCGCCTGTGCACGGAGTTTCCCTCTCACCATCAGGTAGGGGCGGCCCCAAGGATCTCGGTTTAGAGACTCCACCATCTCTTCGTGGGCCCTATCTTTTGCTGCACGTATGGCTCGGCTGAGCTCGTGTCTCGCGGCTTTGTAGACGCTGAGCAGGCTGGCTTCGACGGTTCCATCCCTTCGTCTTCTTCGGCGTTGACGTTGGTACTGGCGTCTGGCAGCAACGCACGCTGTGCGTAATGCTGCTATCTCCGCAGACCACCAGTACACTTGCCTCTTCTTCGGTAGGGGACCTTGCCGCGGCATCGATGCATCGCAAACGCGGGTCATCGACGCACACAACGCATCAGCCCTTGCGTCTACATCGGGATCTCTATCCGCAGGCAGCCAGGTTTCCACCAATGCGGCCTCCACCAGTATCTCCTTTTTTAGGCGCTTCGCCACCCAGCGAGGAGTGTCCTGGCGAAGCGACTCCGGCCCCTGGTGTGCTGGAACCGTAGGACTCTCCAAGATCGCAAAACGGATGTAGCGGTGGTCGGATAGTGTCTCCACACCTTCCACCACCTCCCAACCGCGCACCCGTCTCGCAGTTGCAGGGCAGGCGAACGAAATATCCACTATGGAGCTGCCCTGCGGCCGGACGCATGTGGGTGTCGAACCCTGGTTCAAGAGGCACAGCCCCATGGTCAGGGCCCACTCCTCCAGTACTGCACCCCGGGGATTCGTGGATGCGCCACCCCAGGCAGAGCTCTTAGCATTGAAGTCCCCCATTACCAGCACGGAACGGGGGCTATCTCTGCGTAAGAGTACTCCAACCTGGTCCAGCAGGTTCTCGAATTCCGCGAGACTTTTACTGGGGGCGCAGTACACGCCAACGACCACAGTTCCTCCTACAGTGGCCCCCACGTAACCCCGGCCCTTTCGAACCCCATCAAGCGACAGGGATCTCGTGGACCGGGGCACAATGAGCGCCACGACTTCCTCCTCATCCCCCACCCAGTCGTCTCTATTGGGAATGAAATAGGGTTCAGACACCACGGCTAACTGCGTCGACCACTCAGCCATGCTCTGAACGAGCAGGTCCTGAGCCCGTGCGCAGTGATTAAGATTGGCCTGCAGAACCTGGACCGCCATCTCTACTGCCAATCTCTTCGGTCTCCATGGCAACCTCCACTGTCACCTGCGGTGCTGGTCGTGACTGTGGGGCGTGCGTTCCTCTGGTGATCTTCGGGGCTGGTGCGGAACAGCCCTTACCACCCAGTTGATGGTCCGCCGATTTCTTGGCCGCAGCACATATGACGCAGTGTGGCTTGGCCGAGCATTCCTTAAACTTGTGTCCCTCGACACCACAACGGAAGCAGAGCATGCTTCGGTCAACCTCAGAGTTGCACTGCGCCCTGACGTGCCCCTTCTGCAGGCATCGATAGCAGCGCAGTGGTCGGGGAACTAACAATTTGACATTGGCCGACACCCACGACATTGTCAGCCGACCTGCCTCTGCAACCCGTTTCGCCGTCGAAACTGAGCAATGCACCCAGGCGTGTCCCACTCCAAAGCGGTCCCGTACGACTCCGCTGCATTTGAGGGTGTCTGTAGGGCAGCCGCCCGCTTCGGCAACCGCTGCCAGCACCTCTTCGACGGTCGTCGAATCATCAAGGCCAGAGATCTTTACCTCGGTAGTCTTGATCGGCCTCGTGATGCGAACCAGGTCAGGACTGAAGATTTGAGTCATCTTCTCCGCCAGAGCGTCGGCTTGTGGGCCATTGTCCGTTCCGATGACTTCAAATCGCCTCGCTCCAGTGGCACACACCCGGAAACGCACTCCGGTTGTGATCCCCACATCCTGCAATTTAATTTTTGCTTTGGCCTCCGCGATGACAGCGTCATATGTGAGGCCTTTTGCAATGGCCTCCGGCGAGAGTGTGACCACTACCGCAGCAGATTTCGGCGCGGCCACTACTGGCGCCCTGGGCACTCTTCTTTGTTCCGAGTTCGTGAACACCCGCGGTCGGTTCTTCCTTTTCTTCTTCAACCCTTTTTTAACCACAGTGCTCCAGGGCAATTCTGTGGTATTCTGCTGCTGGGCTGCAGGCTCTGCCGCCGTCACTGGCTGGGGCTGCACCTGGGGCTCCGCCGTCTTTCCCTTGGAGGGTTTCGTAGGGGCTCTCCCTGGGGCTTTGCCCGAGGCTTTGCTCGAGGCTTTGCCCGAGACTTGGCCCGAGGCTTGGCCCGAGACTAGGCCCGAGGCCTGCCCACTCTTCGCCAGCCTTGGGGCTGCCGATCCGCGTTGGCCCACAGACTCGGGCCTGCTGTCCGCCGCAAGCGGGGGACGAATGCGCCTTTCGGGGAGGAGACGATCCTCCAACGCCTCGAACCTCGCGTTCACCATTGTGCCCACCTGGCACAGAATGGTGCGCACGAGGTCTTCATTATCGGTCCTCGGTGGCTCTGGTCTCGCGTTCGGCGCTTGGAGGCACTGCCTCATTTCCGCAACCTCCTTGCGCAGCTGCTCTACCTCCGCTTGCAGTCGGGCATTAGCCGCCTGCAGACCTTTGGTCTCCTCCGATGTGCACCTGCCTTTCAGGGCTTTCGTTGTTTTAATTATGCCCTCGGCGGCGTCCTTTAGGGCTCGTATGTAACCTCCCTTAAGGTTTTTAGAGGTGGAAGCCACTTTCCTAATTACTTCCACATTTTCCTCTATAATTTTACTCAGGGAGCCTGCCGCCTGGAACTCCTCAGGCTCCTCCTCCGACACCATATCCGACAACCTTTGGGCTCGGGCTCTAGCTCTTGCCGCGATAGAGGCAGCAACGACTTCTGCCTCCGCCCGTCTTTCATCCTCCTCTCGCTGCTTATCCTCAACAAGCAGGTGCTTGGCCTTCGCCAAACCTGCGTAAGTGCGAGAGGTGGGTGGTCGTCCTCTCCTCTTCCTTACTATTATGGGGCTACCCCTCCGACTTCCTTCGGACATCGAGGCTGACGCCGACTCCTCACTCAGCATCAGCTCCGTGTCCAGGTCCATGGATGCCACTCCTTCTCCTCTTTGGACCTCCAGTCCACTCCCCATCGTCTTCTCCAAATCGCATGCAACAGTATCCGTATTTCTTGCCAGGGTCGTCGAGTATCCACAGCATTCTTTGGCCCCCCCAGAATACGAAGGCCGGCCAGAGGTCAGAATGACCTCTGGGAGGGATTCTCCACTAGACGAGCTAGGGGTACCCTCCTGGGGTAAATTACTCTTTAAGCTTGCCATGTCATACTTGTCCAGTGTTGTCGGACACCGGAAACCGCCTTTTCAATACAGGGTGAGGTCCCCTAGCATTGACGCGCGAGCCATCAGGCCGCCATACACCGACCGAAGTCCACTGCCTTTTAACGTGTTGCCTCACGCCCTCGACCTTTGCCCGACAGGATGGCCGAGTTGACCGGTCCTGCCGCGCCGCGGGCCTTGAGGCCCGCCATCCCACGACCCTCAGGTCCACTAGTGTCTTCCACGGGCCTGTCCGGTATGGGAAACCCTATCCGGCATAGCCCCGCAGAAACACCCCCCACCAAACATGACGACACCTCAGTGCACGTCACGCCCAGCACCGCCCAGTGGGCGTGCTTGAGCCCCATCCAGAGTAGCTACGCTAATCGTAGCACTCGGAGAGGCCCCTTAGTGTCCACGGGCCTTCCCGGCATGGGTAGCCCTACCCGGTATAGCCCCGCGGACACCGTCCCACCCCCTAGCCAGTTGTTAGCCTCCCTAAAGTCGTTCGGGAGTTTCCAGGGTGCACCACGAGGAGGTCACCGGCCATCGCACTCCTCACTATTAAAAAGCTACGTTATCAATGAGTAACAAAGGCTACGTTTTCTATTATTATTCAACTAGCTGTTCGCGTGCGACTTCATCCGCATGAAATTATGAATTTTTTTTTATTGTTCACATGTGTCAAATTATCAATTACAAATGTCAAAATGACATGACATGACAAACCTTAGCAATCTTGCTTTCTTGATGTTGGCAGCAACTTATGGTCTCTTTCCCACATTAAGGTTTTTATCCAAAATATTTACCCCCTAAGTTTAATACGGAGGAAATATATAGCCTAAAACGTGACGCAAGTGTAGGGCTTTTTATCAAAAAAAGAATTATTCAAAAATATGGTGTAATTGCTGACATCTTAGGCAACAAAGAAATGTGTGTTTACGCTTTATTATAATAGTATAGAAGTATAGATTAAACGCGGGCGAAGTTTCTAATAGCAGCTAGTCTAACATTATTCAGACATTGTTAATTGTTAATCTCAGTCAGTAAAAGTTCAAAGAGATATATTTTCCTCTAATATTATTCCTAATCTGATGTTACTATAGAGATAAAAGTTCAATGCCCTCTTAAACAAACCTCGCAGAGCCGGGGTCAATAACTCGTAACCATAGTGACTTGAACTTTTTTAATAAGGATCGATTTTTAGGGAGATTTGGGTATTATCTTACTATCCTACTAGCAGTTGCTCGCAACTTCGTTCACATGAAATTAAAATAATAATAAAAAAACACGCCTACGTTACTGATAGATAAATTCCCTTTCTAACAGTAAAAAGGTTTTTGAGTTATTGCAAACACAAAAATACAAATTCCTCTTTATAATGGTAGTATAGATTAAGACATACTGTCCAAGCGTTGTTAGCCGATGACTTAGGTTTAAAGCAGCTACTAGATAATATGATCTTACTCATATTTTACCTATTTTAGATTTTTGGTGTATAGGGAAGAGGGGAAGCTACAATTCTACCCTTTCTGGCGACGCCCTTGTTATACTTATTTAATTAGACATTATTTTTCAAATACCTTTGGTAGATTCAGAATAGATAGGCAAATGTTTGGATATGACAGCGTTTGTTTCGTTCCGAAATAAACGCGTCTTTTGATCTTAATAACTGTTATGTATGCGTGTGTACCTTGCGTAAAAAGGAACGGTCGGCTGCGCCCGACGACTGCGTCTATGTGACGTGAATAAACCAGTCTGCACCAAGCAAGCGCTGTTTTAATTACTCATCCACATATCCATCACTGGCGACGAGAAATCGAAGTACCCGCGTTGTGAAAAGTTTTTTTTGTTTGTTTTCAAAATGTCTGTTGGACAGTTCGGGGTTTTGTCTTGTTTTAACCATTGTGAACAGACTTGGAAAACATATAAGAGTCGCATAACGCAATGGTTTATTGCTAATGATATAAACCATTTAACTGATGCGACGGGAATACATAAATTACATACACAACATTCTATCATTATTATTAGTTCGAAAACTTCACCGCAACTAACAGCGCCAAAATGGCGAAAATCAATACCTAAAATACAACAATTATATTTACAAAGGACAATATTTATAAAGGTAATACGAAATTGTAGTTTGTTTATTTACTACAACTGTAGTTTCAAGTAAAATAATAGAAATTCGTTTTCTGTGTAATAACCATAAGGGAGAAATATAAAAGATTACATTAGGTTGGCTTTTGGGTCATGAAAATGGAAATCGTTTTTGGAATACAAGTAACATATTTAAAGAGTAAACATAACTTAACGGTGGTTCCCCATTTACGGTTATATCTCCGGGATCCGAGGTTGTCCGTTTTTATTGAACTATTTGTTAGTTTTATAGTGTACAGCCTACACTAGTTCCCTTAATAATATAGGGTTATTATCGTTTGAAATTACCTTCTCTATTTACTAAATAATACGCTTTTTAGTATCTTATTTTATAGTCAACTTAAGTTAAGAACTTGTTGGTTCTTATTGCTAATATTTCAATATAAAACACACTGTCATACTAAACGCGAAAGTTTAGATGGATGGATGGATATTTGTTAGAGTTTGTAGCTTAACTGAACACAATTTGATTAAATTTGGTACAGACGTAGATAATATTTTGGAAGAACACATAGGCTACTCACTTTTGTTTTTTTTTTAAATCCACGCAGATGGAGTCTCGGGCAAAAGCTAGTTTTAATATATTATAGTAGTGTCAATTACGCTCTACATATCTTCTGTTCAAATTTCTAATCTGTAAAATGTGGGTCAATCCCGTGTCCTGATAATTCTTAAAGAAAGCATTTTTTTCATTAATATTCTTGTATTTTTCTATTTGGCAATCTAACAACAGTTGTAAATACGTATTTTTTTTGTTAAAGAATGTACAAGTTGTTGTAATAAATATTTTTTAAATAATTTAACAATCGGGGCATGCATTTATATGTGTTCGGCGTACGTCCAACTTTGTTGCTCTCTACAAATAGGTATATATTTTTTGGCACTGCTTTCAGGAATAGCATTGCTTTAATGTTTATGGCGTTAATAAAAAAAAAAGTCTATGGTTCAGTGAGAGGATTGTTCGGTTTTGAATCTATAGATTACACATTCCATTCCAGATGTTTTTAATAAGTTATGTTAGCTATGAGAAATTATAGTGATATGTTAGATTCGTGGACAATCCAAAAATTCTTACTAATATTTTAAATGTGAATGTTTAGATTGATAGATGTTTGTTAGAGTTTGTAGCGTGAACATCTTAACGAATCTCGATGAAATTGGGCATAGACGTAGAGGATAACCGGGAAGAACACATAAGCTACTCTTTTGTTTTTTTTTAATTTCACGCTGACGAAGTCGCAGTCAATAGCTAGTATATCATAAATTAGTTAAGTGAAAACTAAATTAGTTCTACTATATAATATGTTTTAAAAACTAGTATTATTTTGTTTAAATTAAAAGGTATAAAAATTGTAATAAATAAATATCCCAGTTTACTAGTGTGTTCTAAATCTTAGTAGAATAGGGTTGCTCCATTTACGAAAAGCCCGGATTCAAAGTTATTGTTATGATAATAATGTGAGACCGCAATAAATCGTCCGGTATCGGCTGTCCGGCGTGGCTTGCCATCAGATATCAACCCTATCCGACGATAAATTTACCTCTTACCAATTAAATGCTAGCACAAATTGTATTATTTGAGGTTAACAATTTATCTACTAATTTATTCTCTTCTAATTAACTTTGGTGCGATTTTTTTATTTACATTTTTTATCAAAAATTGTTTCGTCTTTTTCTGTTTCTTTTAATACGGTAAATATTTTCTATAGTGGCAACACTGACTAGTCATTTCATAAAATATTTATATTTTTAACCAACAAAATGTAATTTAAACAAGTGTTATTTTTTCACAGGTACACCTTTATTTATATTAAAAATATAAAAAGAACAGTCTTTGTATTCTAGTTTCATAAAATGCATTTGTAAACAAATATAACTCGTCTGACTTTTTTCAAATGTAAAACAGTGCCATCTGTTGGTAGCAAATGTGTAACAATACGAAGGACTGTTTTATCGTGGGAGCTCGGCCCGCGCATGCGTACTTTAGTTTGAGGCCACGGTCACAACAACGAAGATAATTTCTGTCATCGCAATATTACCCACACATGCGTCGGCTACCGTCGTTGTCAAACGTGTGCCGCTTGTCATAATGTGTAATAAGCTGTAATTTCAGTGTTTTTGGTCTAATATACTTAATTGTGTTAAAGGTAAGTAAATTTTTATCTTCATTATGGTTCCGTGTAAATGTATACTTTAATCTCTTGCTTCTTTTTGTCGTATAAGTATAATAACCTTTCTACTTTGTTCGAATGATGGTGTCTTGTTATCTTGTTACGTTTCTTGGTATATTATCGATTTTAAATATCTTATGAGATTCAAATAAAAATGACATAGGTACAAGTAACTGAAAGTTTATTTTGTTTCACATGTAACTATCCGATATGGTCTAGTGGCTAGGATACCTGGCTCTCACCCAGGAGGCTCGGGTTCGATTCCCGGTATCGGAAATCTTTTTTACAATTTATTTTTATTTTTTTCAGATTCAAAATGAACGTCATAGCGGCATTGGCCATTTGCATGGTCTTCGTGGGATGTTGTTCCAACGTTGTTTTTTTGGAATTGGTGGTGAAAGAAGATCCGGGTGCGGGTAACTTAGCCACGTTCCTGCAATTTGTTTTCATAGCCGTTATGGGATTTGTTACGGTGGGAAAATTTGGTACAGCAAAGAGAAACATACCATTCAAACAATACTTAATGTTGGTTGGCTTTTTCTGGACTAGTAGCGTCGCTAACAATTATGCATTCGACTTCAATATATCTATGCCCCTTCATATGATATTCCGAGCGGGATCTTTAATGGCGAACATGGCTATGGGTGTATGGATTTTGAAGAAGAGATATCCACCATTAAAATATTTAGCAGTATTTATGATATCAGCTGGAATAGCTATTTGTACTATCCAATCAAGTGGCGACGTTAAAGCACCAAGAGAAACACATAAAGACGCGGCTGAGGAAGAAAGGCTACAGTTTATAGATTGGTTATGGTGGTGTCTCGGTATTGCCATACTTACCTTCGCATTGTTCGTATCAGCACGAATGGGAATATTCCAGGAATCTTTATATGCGAAGTATGGGAAACATCCTTGGGAGGCGTTATATTATACTCACTTAATGCCTTTAGTTTTCTGGTTACCGACAGCTCAGAATTTAGTCGGACATGTGAAGATTGCTACTGAGACACCTATGGTCGAAGTATTGGGAGTGACACTTTCTCGACAAGTCCTGTGGTTGATACTATACGTGGTCACACAAGGGCTTTGTATTAGCGCTGTCTACGTTTTGACAACCGAGTGCGCGTCCCTAACTGTCACTTTGACAGTTACTTTGAGAAAGTTTGTGTCACTTTTGTTCTCTATAATGTACTTTAGGAATCCCTTCACTTTGGGACACTGGATTGGTACGTTGTTAGTATTTATAGGAACCCTAATATTTACGGAGATATTACAGAAGTGCGTAGGCCTATTCCTCCCAACGCCTGTCAAGGTCGAAAAGAAGAAGAAGAAATAAATTTGTGATAATTATTATGTAGAGAATTTGATTTGTGACGTGTACAATTTGGGTTGTTTTATTTATATACTTTTTGTATCGATTGAAACTTTGTATGTAAGATTATATATATGGAGCAGGATTTAATTTTTACTGTAAAAAAGTAGAACAAATTGTGAATATTTTTATTAATAAAAAAACTATTTGAACCGATAATTGTTAAACGTCAGTCCGCTTACTTAAAATAACAGTAATGACAAAATGCTTTTTTTTATACCAATTAGTAAAAAAGACGTTAGAGTCAATTAACGTAATATAATGAAATCAAATAAATTAAACCAGAAATTGCATTTTACAAATGTAAATGCACTTTCGTAAGTTTACATCGAATGGGCTATTTCAAATCGATTATTTGTACTCGATACATCGATAAGCGAATTTCCTAGAAACAATCGTCAATATCGATTCCAATGTCAATGGCCGCTTGATATTCCGATGTTGCTATATAAGAATAATATGCTTCCAATATAATTTCTGTATACGCATTTAAAATAAATGATTTTAATAATACAATAATATAGAAAATATATGTTGTTTTCTTTTCTTCGGTACGCATTTTGATTAATAATTGGCAAAGAAGAGTCCTATTAAGATTTAAAAACAAAATTTTAATAAGAGAAAAGAAGTGAGGTTTCATTTGAAATATATCTAGAATGTTCTATTTTACAGCTAGGATATTTTTGGTATTTCAGATCTAGTTGGTTCTTTGTTTACACTTACGTCACTTTTAAGTCAGTAACACCGGTATTGTGAGAAGTGTATATATTTAGGTTTCTGAAGTAAATTCCACGGTAATACGCTAATACTTGATAGCTCATCGAGTGACCTAATCGAGATCACTGCATGCATTTTTATTGCATTTTTTTTTATAACAAAAGGTGGCAAACGAGCAGGCGGCCTGAATCCGCCAAAATGGCGAAGCAACCGCTGCCCATAGACATCCGCAATTGCAAATGCGTTACCGACCCTTATCCGACAGAGGAGGAGATGCACATAAAGAGGATATTTCCCCTTCCTATGTATCTCCTCCTCCGTGAAATCCACTTTCCCTTCCCATCCTCTTCTTATAAGAAAAGGGCGGTAAAGAGAAAGGGACTTAAATTAGGCCTCCGGCACCACACTCATCAGACGAAACACGGAATTGCTTCCATTTCACGCCTGTCTTCTGTGTGGTCGTGGTATTACACCGGGCGTGCCGGCCCATTCGTGCTAAGATGTTAAAGCGGGCACTACCACTTTTAAACTGCATTTTAAGCTATGAGTTCTGAATATTAGTTACACTGGACACTCATTTGAAATGATAAGTTTTTATTCAAATAATCTTAATTTCTCACTAATATTATAAATGCGAAAGTTTAGACGAATGGATGGATGATTGTTAGAGTTTGTAGCTTCAAGGATGGAACAGAACTTTGTCTTAGACGTAGAGCGAAGTCTGAAAAAACATATGCTTTTGTTTTTTTTTAATTTCACGCAAAGGAGTCGTGGGCAAAAGATAGTAATTTTAAAATGTTATCCTATGTTAAAAGTGTGAAATTGAATTTACTTCGTTTTGTTTTATTTTCTTTTGAATATATTTTTTTAGGTACCAGGCGATCATGACTAGGTTGTAACATTTCTATTCGAAAAGCAATTTGTTCCGTTAGGAATTCCGTATACCACGTGAGTCCGTGCCGAGCCTAACTTTTCCAACTTTTTGGCATCGATGTAGCCGACGGCTTAGTGTAATCTTATTGCTAACAATTGAGTTAACCAATTTCGAGCGATCTTTTTTCTCTGAAGGGGAACCTTTTTAACCTGCTTTCAGATGCTATACGAAATAAATGGTTTAAACTTTAGTGAGACATTATTATAAAGTAATTATTAGAAAACAATTACTTATTTTTTTCGGTGTTGCCACCGCATTATTATTTATAGTGTTGGATTTAAGAGAACTTTGTATTAGGGCAAATGTTATACTAATTTAATTAACACATCTTTAGTTCTGACTAGCTGTACCCATGCGGCTTCATCCGCATGAAATTATAAAAAAAATATATTTTATTGTTCACATTTGTCAAGTTATCCATTGCATGATGACAGAGCATGGCAACCTTGCTTCCTTGATGTTGGCAACAACTTATGGTCTCTTTCCCACATTAGGGTTTTTATCCAAAATATTTACCCCTAAGTTTAACGGCGTGAAAATATATAGCCTAAAGCGTGACGTAAGTGTAGGGCTTTTATTAAAAAAAATAATTATTCAAAAATATGCCGTTATTGCTGAGATCTTAGGCAACAAAGAAATGTGTGTTTACGCTTTATTATATTAGTATAGATAAACATATAAAAAAACGTTTGATATCTAAAAACAATTGATTTAATTGCGGTTGACAATGTTAAAATATAATCTGTCATAGATTATGCAAAGGTATAATTTGAAGAGTTTTATTACGATCGACACATGCCTAGTCATTCTGAACTTCACCGCACTTCAATCCCTGAATTACTTGGAAAAAGGTCTGTCTATTTACATCGATATCTTAACATAAAACTGATCCTTATTCCTTTAAGCTAAAGTCGAAGTTTGCTTACAAGTAAACTTTTGTTGTGTTGAATAGACATTTGATTGATGTATTCCCTATTGTTGTAGATAATGTTAAGACAAGGGATGTAAAGAGGGTGTCTTGTAATACCTTATTAGAATATTCATAAGTATGTTACTAAGAGTACCTTGGACAGAACTATCGAACAAATGTTGTGCGATTATCAATTGTTTCGCAGCCAATTCAACTGTTTATTGCACAACTAAAATTTGGAATCAAAGCGAGACTGAACAGTTGTGCGATAGTTTAGTCATAATCGCGGTTAGAATGATTGAAAATCGCAAATCATGCTTCATAATAGCATTTTCAAGGACCCTATAACATTACTGTTTTCTATAAACATGTACTTACAGACACTTCTACCAATAATGCGTTGGTCCAAATCAACGCATTATTGGATGGATATTTGTTATAATTTGTAGACTAAACTCGGAACGCGACAAAAGTAAGCACATATGTAGATCATAGATTGAAAGAACATAGGTTATTGAGTGTTTTTTAATATTCAGCGCGAATGGAGTCGCGGGCGCAAGCTAGTATAATGTAATGCAGTAACATTTATTTGTTACTTTGTATTGAATAGTTTCAGGTATTACTGAATAGATTTGAAATCACTGTTCAAAAGCACACTATCAGTATAAAGTAGGACGTATTTTAAAATTAGTTATAATATGAAATAACGGTAGTTATAAATCCAGTGTCTTTATTTAATGAGATAAAAATACTTGATTATATGATTTTTTTTACTAAGTCATCGTGATTTGATTGTTTTTTTAATTAGTTTGAAATATATCTATCGTATACGACCTTGCTAAAAATGTAGTTAATAAAATGTATTTGTCTTAATTTAAAAAAAAAAATGTCACAGTTAAGACAGTAAAGAGGTAATTGTCAAGATAAATTGAACCTTTTCTAAATATAATTAAAGATGAAAATGGCACATCACTAATAATTTACTTTAATGTTACTGTAGTCTTAATATAGATTACTCTTTATGTGCGTAAATAAAACCTGTTTTAAAGAAAACCTCATTCGTATTATTTACATTTATTATCAAATGATCTAATTAATTATTTGACTAGCAGTTGCCCGCGACTTCGTCCACGCAATGTTAAGATAAAAAAGTAACATATAATATAGCCCTTTTATGTCAGCTACCTTTCAGTGAAAGTTCGGTCGAAATCGGCTCAGCCGTTTCGGAGATTACCCGGAACAAACGCGGCTTACGGACAGACAAAAAAAATTTAAATGCGATTTTTGTTATCAGCAACGCAAATACTTCACATTCCCGAAATCTAGAATTTTTGTTTTGATATTACAAACAGACACTCCAATTTTATTATACGTATAAATGAGATGTAAGTATCGTCGATTGTTTGTTATTGTATATTCATACATTTTAGTTGATAGACCATTATTGATGAGGCTAGGGCGAAGTAGAGCGACCGCCCAGGGCGCCGGGGGTAAAGGGACGCCCCGTCTTTTTTCATACTTGTTTGTATTTCAGTTAAAGAACGCTGTAGATGTCTCTCCCAGAGGGTAATGCTACAACCGGTCTTGTATTAGTAATAGTAATTAAAAGATAGTAAGATATGATGGAATCTTATTTAAATGAAGTAGTTATTTCGTATATTCCGTATTCTATGTTATCTATACATATTGATAAACGATTGATATCTGGCTGGTAAACGATAATAATAACTAAGAATGACATGCGAAAAATAATTATTTAAAATAAAAATGCTACTGAATACTTAAGTAAAAATGTTTTGTCATGCCTAAAATTGTCTGGTTTTAACTAGTAGCGACATCTATTATCAGCAAAATAAAACCTTTGATTTCTTTCGCTATTGATATTCTGATGTCTTTTTGTATTTCAAAACACGAAAAAATGCATCACCTATTAGAGAAACATATAATTTAGAGTCGAAACCTAGAAATACCTAGTTCAGTTGTTTAGTAGACTAAAAGCTGAAAGCTCTCAAACTGACGTTAAATCCATTTTTCTATATTTGCCATCGTTCAATATATCCGATATAGAGAGGAGGAATTGAGAAAGAAACGTAACTAAGTAAATAATATTATTTTCATAAAACTTTTCAAAAATAGGTCCATACACTATAATTGACATTTTCAACCAGTGACATGACTAAATATAATTTCTTATTGTCATTTTGGACTGTACATCAATTTCAATACGTAGTACTAACTTTAACATAGTTGTGGTTATCTTTGAAAATTACAGATACATAAGGAATATTTTAAATTCATGATGAACATTTATAAAATAGATAACAAGTTTCCTCCGCTAATACGCTTTGAAACGTAAGTTCGAGCAAAAACAATGAAGGCGACCGAAATGAGGTGAAAACTGCCCGGTTTTGGCAACATTCGTCAACAATGTCTGCACTGCAAACGGCGTAGTGTAACAATACTAACAAAACACTTGTATACAATCAAATTGAACCTTATTCTTTACGCAATAAGAATACTAAACTCGCAAAGCTAACTTTGTAATCCGGAGCAATGGTCCAACTTGTTGAAATTCCGTCGCCGTCCGGTGTACGATGTGCCGAAATTGAGCTTCCGTTGCCAAAATCTTAGATAAGCTCTATTGCTTACGGAATAAAGGTTGTTTTTGTTGATTTTTAGACATTCACAACGATAAGGTTTAATTGGCGGCACAGGAGGGAAGAAATTTCGCAGGCGAAGGTTTTGCTTGAGCGCCCACTAATTTTGTCCAATCGTTGTTAGCGGGTAACGTGTGAGACATATTTTTAGACTCAAAACGTGTTGTTTTTTTATACTTAAATCTTTTGTCTTTTCACGAAGGAGTTTTGTTACAAGCAGCTGATTATTTTTTTTATTTTGTTCTTACGAGACTTGTTGACATTACACTTTGATTCTTGTGATAATAAATTGAGTTCGTGTCATTTCTTCTTGTCCTTCTCAATACAAAATTAATTAAAAATGCTATTTCATTAACAAAATACAAGTATTGTAAAGCTCTGTTCAGCTGAAAAAGATATCAAGAAACTCCCTTGGATTCCATAAAATACGAATATTGTATAATGTTATTTATTTGTACAGATGGCGAGCCCATCAAGCTGCCAGATAATCTGGAGAGCCTGCCGCGCGCTGAACACTTCGCCGCGCAAAGACATCGCTGGAACACCAATGAGGTTAGTGAACTTAAATATTGAATTAAAATGACATCTTACCTTACTTGTAAACGTGTTTGTGTGTGTACAATTTTCTTCTTTAAAGATGTAGGACGTAGTTGCAAATATAATGACTGACGTAAAGGTTTTTAAGATCTAAAAAAAAATTAAGTAAATTAGTCATAATTTAATTTGTTCTGTATTTTTATGTTTAGAGCGTTAAAAGAACTTATTAGTTATTATCATACTAATGATACTTCATACTGATATTACAAATGCGAAAGTTTAGATGGATGGATGGATGTTAGAGTTTGTAGCCTAAACGGCTGAACTGATTTCGTTGAAATTTGGCATAGATGTAGAGGATAGTCTGGAAGAATATATAGGCTACTCACTTTTGTTTTTTTAATTCCACGCAGACGTAGTCGCGGGCGATAGCTAGTAGAAGATAAAGTTAACTTATTCAGCACTTAATAGACACTTAATAATATATTGTTATGCGAATAACGGGTAAATATTTATATTTATTTTCTTTGTTAGCTTTGGATTTTGTTTTCCATTTTGACGTCAATCGACTGGTCCTTTGCCAATTTGTTTTTGTATCGTCGATTATCTGGAATGATAGAACTCGGATCATTTATTAATTTGTTATTCTTGCCAAAACGTTTTTAAACCGCCAGCATCCGATATTGGAAGATTCCATTTGTTTTGTTTGGATTTAAAGAGGATTTAATCGTTAACAACCAAAGTTAAAGAGATTTAAATGTTTGTTTTTAAAACAAATAAAAGCATTAAAACTTAACAAAGTAGCTCCATGTTAGCTTTTTTATGTAAATCACTCTCCACGCCTCCAAAACCATTTCTCATTCCAGTACAAGTTTCAAAATGGAACAGTTAACATGAAGTCATATGACGAGGGTTATTTATGTTAATACCATAGGACTCATGATTAATTCCCTAATGTCGCGGTCCGACCGCGGCGCTAGTGTCGCACCGCGTATAAATCGCAGCCTAATTCATGCATAATGCAAACAGCCATGAGTGTCTCATATCTCGAACCGCAATGTTTTAGCCTACTTAACCTGGTGTGGATTACCTCACGACCCCTACTATTATATTTCAAGTGAGAATTAAACATTTAAAAAAAAACTGTGATATCACTGACCTCTATTAATGGATAGGTTATAAATTGGGGTTGAGGTGAGTGCGGGAAGGAGCGAAATAATTGAACACTTTGGATAACGCTCTGATTTAATGTGTCTTAAAACTAACACTAGCTTACATACTTATAAGAAATATGACGTTCCCCGCCTCAGGGTATTTGTTATCTATTAGGTGGTGGTAAAAAGTTTTAGAACTATTATTACTAGTAGACTTAAAAGTCATTAACATCAAAAGGCGTTGGAGTTACAACGAAGCAGCAGCAGTAATCTTACTAATCGCCTATCTATTTATACTGATCAGTGTATAACTCTACGCACGTCTTTTGTTTAAATCTATTCACTTGAAACCTTAAAATGACGTACTATATGGTGGCAGATGACCTCAACAAAGGGCGATTCATGATTGTATCAGCTTTTCTATATAAATATATCTTTGATAATCGATTTTCATTGGCGTTAAAAATTTGTTATCTCCTTTTGAAGGAGAAAGAAGACGAAGTTGTAAGAGTATTTCGTCAGTGGAAATCGACGGCTAAACGGAATTCCAACTCATGAAATGTAGACTGCGTAAAACTCGTTCCATTGATTTCAGAACCCTCGTATTTACTAATGCGTACGTTAAAGTCTGTAGTTCATTCCCCCTCTTTGACGTTGATAGTTTTGTAGAAATTTAAATGAGATGGCGTCCGCTATAGGGGATCGTTGAAAATTTTTACACTCTTTGAGCAGTTATTTTTGTAGTCACTAACGTTTCACGGCATCACCACTTTGGATATCAGTTTTTGGGTTTTACTTTGATATTTATTGCTTTTTTTCTGTATTACCATATGTTAGCTGATGTATGATTAGAAAATACATTTTTAAAAGTAATTTATTAGTAATTCTTGGTTATCTGACTGGTTTCAACTTTCTGATGGGATAAAAAGTAGTGTATTTGGGAAGTGGGAATGCATGTCCGAACGAGGATGTAAGAAAGTTGTTTTAAAACAATGATTAGAGTGAATGATTGATTTGATTGAACGTATGAATGACTAGTAATAGACAAGAAAAAGATGGAGAGTTTACTAAGATAAAATATAAATTAAATTTATATCTTGTAAAAATAAAGTTAAGGTTGAGATATAAAGTGATTAAAGGGGAAATCTGTTTATTTTACCGTACCAACCATACATCATCATCATCATCATCATCATCATCATCATCATCATCATCATCATCATCATCATCATCATCATCATCATCATCATCATCATCATCATCTTGGACTTAGGCTATCCTCAATACCTTCCACAGACTGCGATCCTCCGCCTTCCGCATCCAACGACTTCGTTCGCAATAAAACGTTAGTCCACCATACATATAAAATTTTTATTATTTTGTAACCGTAACTTGTAACATGAGAACTTAAAGTAGGTGAGTAGATATTTCATTCAATGAGAAACAGCAGCAAGTCTCGTATGTGTTAGTTATGTTAATCATTCACAGGAAGCTAAACTTGGCGGTCACTTTTTTAATCTGTACAATTTGTTAAAAGATTTACATTGTAATGGTTTTTATGATATTTATCATGTGAATATAAACATAAGGAAACTTAAAGTGACGTGCATATAGTTAAGAACTTATATGGGAACATAAATTTTTAACTTTTTAGTGAAATTATGCAAACACTTTTAAAGTGTTTGAGTAGGTGACCGTATTAAGTAGTTACAATTTTTAATTTAAATCCTGACTTTATTGTTATAAATACGAAAGTTTAGATGGATGGATGGATGTTAGAGTTTGTAGCTTACACGACTGAACGGATTTATGATAGATGAAATTTGGTATAGATGTAGAGGATACTCTGGAAGAACACATAGGCTACTTAATTTTGTTTTTTTAATTCAACGCGGACTTAGGCGGGTGAAAGCTAGTCTAAGACATAAGAAGAATGTTAGAACAGCTTAATTAGTTTTGTGTCTTTTTATGTACGTTGATATTAAATTAGTAACTTTCAACCATATAAATCTATACTATTATAATAAAGCGTAAACACACACTTTTTTGTTGCCTAAGATGTCAGCAATTACAGCATATTTTTGAATAATTATTTTTTAAATAAAAAGCCCTACACTTACGTCACGCTTTAGGCTATATATTTCCACGCCATTAAAATTAGGGGGTAATTATTTTGGATAAAAGCCTAATGTGGGAAAGAGACCATAAGTTGCTGCCAACATCAAGGAAGCAAGATTGTCAAGGTTCGTCATGTCATGTCATTTTGACATTTGACATGTAAACAATAAAGTAAAGTTTTCATAATTTTATGCGAATGAAGTCGCATGGGAACAGCTAGTATTTAATAAAGTAACATTTAAGATATTTCTTTACGCAAAGAACTAGTGGAGTTGTCATTAATTTTACTAAAGACGAGAGAGGTCTTTATACAAAAAACATGGCTTCGTTAAAAAGTGTTTGAAGTAAAGTAGTCCAAGGCTGTTCTTGTGCGCTTTGTAAGAGCAAAGCTCGCGCGGGTTCACTTTGCGTTTGGTCGGATGAAGAGATCTTATCGTCAACGAGTGTTAACTGTTATGTCGCATAATGAAGGACTATTTAAAGAAATGAGATGCAAAATTAACTCTTAATTTAACTACGTTGTTGTCTTCGACTCTGTTCGCTTGTAAATAAAAAATGTTTGTTTCATTGCATTTGTAAACATTAATACAGTTACTAAAATGTATAATTTTATTTCTATGTAGCGATTTTCGCTTTCATTTACAGCAAAAGTAAAAACAGAAATATATTTTAATTTCAACTATTCAACTCGTAATTGCGTTTTACGTAGTGAAAGTACTTCGTTACTAAGGGAGGGTTTTACCTTCGACCACCCCGTCCGCTCTCGTATTCACTTCACCCCTTAATTTGTACCCCCACTTGTTTTTGTATCGCGAAATTGTCGATCAACGCTAGATGAATACAAAGAGCTTTGAGGCTATATTTCACTGTAATTACATAAATAGCCTTGTAAATAAACGTAAGTTTTAACATCGATAGAGTAAACAAAAACTTCAATTTTCAACCTACCATAGACTGGCCCGATCCGGGGAGTGCCATAGACAAGAAACTCAACTGAATTGAACCCACCATAGATATTTTATTAAGATCGACCATCACTATGGAAAAGCTAAGCCAGTTTAAGACAGACTTAATTAACTCATCCACGTGTTAAAGTCTAAAAGTATTTTCCACGAATACAATTTTAGTCGGAATAATCTTTTTACGTACAAATATTCATGAAAATTGTCTCGTAAGCCAGACACGCGATCGCCACCAGAATTATCTCTTTCACAGGTTTTATAGTCTGTATTTTAGTAAACAACAATAAAAGCTAGGTAGAGAGTTCACTCATCGATCGACGAAAAAGGTTACACTTGATGTGTCTAGCGCGAATAGAGTTGTTTCTCCTATGCCTAGAGATGGATTGTTATTGCTGTCTTTGTTTTTTCAAAGATAATTTGTGAGAAGACAATATATTCACAGTTGAAACCATCACATTTGACAGAGTTCGTAAGAACCATGGAGAAAAAGGACAACAGATCATTCTGTCTCTTTCCCTCGCGGCTCATTAGCACGAGTCCTGCTTGTATCGTAAAGGCATTTCGTTAAGGCGAAAATTTCACTTTAAATTAAAGCTTTTGTTAGGTTTACCTCCTTATTAATGATACAATGGAATTGCATTCTTTAAATAGCACAATGCCATTCGGATACTAACCATTTAAAATACAATAGTACAATCGGGAAAACTGACGGTGATAATCTTAAAGATTTTTTTATATGGTGGCAAACGAGCAAGCTGCCACCTGAATCCACCGAGATGGA